TAAATATGCTACTGCTATGCTATGATCTTAATCCAGGCAATTTATCTGAACAAGCAAAAACAAATACAAGATGGGGAAAATATAAAACCAATACAAAGAAACTCCTTACACCTAGATGGTAATGCATTAAGAATGAAATGACCAAGAAAACAACAATTGAGATCAGAGTATCCTTAGTGAACACCATATGGGTAAAACAATGTTAAATACTAAACAGCTAGTCCTTTCCAAAAGGTCTTCGGGTCCAAGATTGAACACACAAAAAAGATTAAGTAGTGAAATAGCTTTATCACTGGAAGTTTTAATTTGCTAAATTCAAAGTTCATATCCTTGACAGCAATCTGATTAATCTATCCATATCCTATTAATCACATGCAAGGCGTTTGTTTCCAAAATCCATATCCTTGTTAGCTTTCTGGTTAATCTATTTACATTCATCTAATCACGTGCAGGGCAAATGATGCTTAACAATTATAATATTCTATTCAAGTTGGCACAAGGATCAAATATCGGTGTTTCTTTTGACAAAGATTATCAAAGAGAATTCTGTGCAAGTAACTTACAATCCTTGATAGGCTTAGTTTCTTTAGATAAATGATAACACGTAAAAAAACAGTCTTATAGGACTCAGGATAGAGTAAGTGGTCAAGAGTAAATATCTTTAGGGACAACCATTTCACAATTGATTCCTTATTCTCTCTCAAAACCAAAGATGATGTGAATTATACTTTTCGTTTCTGCTCTTAGTTGATCGGTTAAGACAAATGAAGATGGTTTCCAACAACAGGAGGTTACTTCCTAACAACCAATATTTCACCTCATAACAATCCTTCAAGTGACAGCAACATAATCGTAGGTGGTTCCATCCTAACCAGGAAGTCATGTGTGCAGAAACAACCAATTCTTAAATGAGGCTGTGTATCAATAAAACACCCTAGACCTAGCAATCTCAAACTGGAAGTTGGCCCGCTCATAAGATCATCTATAAAAAAAAACTTCCTTCTCACTTTCAACAACTTGTCCAAAGAGGATCACTTAACCTAGAAAGAGTGCTTAAGATGGGAGTTTCTTATCACAACCCTTTTCCGTAGAAGAATTATTTACTGGTTCCCATGGAATATGTTCGCCTGGGAGAAAAAATTAGAGGATTTAAAGTGATTCTTTCCGGATAATTGGACAGTCTTCCTGAACAGGCCTTTTGGTAGGTAACATCATGAAGCTACTGTGAAGGCTACGAACTTAGAAATGATAGCAATTGAAGAAATGACTTGAATCTGTGTACCTACCCCTAATCAAACTGTTTGGGATTCAAACAGAAAGAACTCATTTTATCTACTAATAGCGGATAAATTGGCATTATAACAAATCAAGTGCCTATTGCCACAGCTGTAGATATAGGTATTCTGCATTAAGACCTCAACGGTGAATGGTTAACCATAACTCCGATGGGTGATTTCGCTAGAAAAGGCAACACTGAAATCACTATTTTAGTAATGATGTGAATAAGACCCTTAGACCTCATAAGGGCAGTTGAACTATAAAACGAACTGTGTAATGTAACATCATTCTCATGTAATCTGAGTTAAAACATAAATAATATTCAGAAGTTAAAAGGTGATGGTAAAAGAAGATAATATCAAAATAATGTAATAGAAATCCAGGTTATATTTTCAAGTAGAATAGCATAGTGATTTCACCCAGTGCTTATACAGAATACATTACCACAAAATCTTGGTACTCCACAATGTTGCTGACATAGTTTCTACTGACTGTCACTTTCAGTATATACCTACACATTTGCAATAATGTTTAGATAGATCAGTTTCATGTTTATATCCTATTATAAAGGATCCTTGAAAACTACAAACATTCAGTAATGAAAATATTTCAACTTAGTCGATCGCGAACAACAAATTGAAATTAAAAAAGGAAAACTAGACGCTAGTGAAAGCCTGAGTAATATGTTTAAATAGCCAAACTTATGCTTGTGCCCTTCACAATCTAGCATGGCAGGGATACCACTAAGCACTGTAACTTTAAAAAAAGGAAATTGCTCACAAAAAGTAACTTCTAGAGGCATGAAAATTTATCACAAGAGTAAACTAATAAATTAAATGAATAGCCTACCTAAGTCTAACATTCACTCCGTTATAAGACTCATATGGCATCTCCACCGTTGCAAATTCAAATGGATATGCTTTTCTTTCATATAATTCACCAGGAACATCAAGTTCACGTACTGCCAACAAAAGGAGAGAATTAGGGATAACTCAGAAGCAACTTTACATGATAATTAAGAGATAATTAATGTCCCTTGCAATGCCACCCCAAACAGGCAAGGTAAGGGAGAAATGGGAGGGGGGAAATCGCGTCAAAACTGAATAGTATAACTTGTAAGGACCCATAAAAAATTAATTAAAATAAAGACATCTTAAGCCTTTTCTTTAAGGTCAAATACACTCACCAAGAGAGGTGAAATCATAGAAGTTGCCTCTGTCAAAATACAATTCTGCAAAGAATAGAAAAATGTCATGGTCTAAGTATAGTGGCACAATCTGTATGGAGATGACCTTTCCAAAATTACACACATTGTTCACAAAATTGGAAATAAAGAAACATCAGAGAAAATTTAAGTAGACACAGAATCAAACAAAAAGAAAAACAACAGACAAGTAACTAGAACTAAAGATTGACTCAAGCTAATTTTTTATATATGTAGGCCTGTAAAAGAACCGAACATTCTGCGAACCATTCGTGAACCGTTCGGCGGAAGTTCGTTTATTTATTAAACGAACAAACATTAACAAGATTTATGTTCGATAAATTAAATGAACGTATAGGAAAAAGAGCTCGTTCATTCATTTACGTTTGTGAATGGACGGTAATCCGTTTGTTTATGTTTGTTCATTTATGTTTGTTTCTGTTCATTTGTTTATGTTTGTTCGTTTGTCTTCAGCCCAATCTCCAGACCCGCTTGAAATATTAATACCTAATAAATTTTAACCTTAAACCCATTAATTTTAAAACCCAAGTAATTTTAAACCCAAATAAAAATACTCAAATCAATTAAAGAAATATAAATCCTAAAATTATTTGGAAAGAAAAAAACTCTTCTCAAATATAAACTCTATTAATTTTTATGTTTCATTTACGTTTGTTTATGTTCGTTCGTTTGTGTTCGTTTACGTTCATTCATTTATTTTTGTTTACGTTCGTTCATTTGTGTTCGTTTATCATTTTAAAGAACGAACACGAACAAGCTAGATTTCTTAATGAACGAACACGAACAAGAAATTCCGTTCATTTAGTTAGTTCGTTAGTTCGGTTAAAGTTAAACGAACGAACATGAACAGACCCTCCTTTGTGTCCGTTCGGTTCGTTTACAGGCCAATACATATGTATATATTTTCTTCTTAGGCTAAACTATACCATATAACATTTAAAGATTAACAGTCAAATGGATATCCCAGTTAAAGTAATGGAAACTATATGGATATCCGGGTTAAAGTAATGGAAACTATATGCATATCCCAGTTAACAGTCAAATGGAAGATCTAAAATGAAAGGTACAGAAAATAAAGCACACCTATCTGACCAAGGAGCTCAATTTTAACACCATTATGTTCAACCTTCTTCCCATGTATCGGTTCTAGAACCACCTGAAACATCAGCAATAAGAACTAAAATACGGATACAGTTTTGAGTGCAAATAATAACAAAACGTTTTGGATATGATAAGCAGATAAACTCAACCATAAGATCCAAAATAGCAACACGAAAAACACTACCTCTCCTACAATATTTTCTTGGCTCTGAAAGAGAGCAGCCATAACTGTTTTCCCATTTTCCTTCTTTAGCGGAACCTGCAAAATAACATTGATCTAAGAGTATAAAGGAAAATCATGTGAATAAAATGGGGGGAATAAACCAGACTATATCACAACAGTATTTATACCAACATAATTGCGTGCACAATTGTAAAATCATGCATTTTGCCTTGTATCTAAAAGCAAACTTTTCATTTTCATTAACATTTCATAAGCAGTATATACCTGATTGCGGCTTCTCCCATCAGCGAATGAAATGAAAATATTACACGGCTGCTTGAAAGCTCCAACTAGGTAATTCTGCAAGAAAACAAATAGATAAACAAGCTTTTCACTTAACCATTATGTTGGTAAAGTAAAACAAAATAAAGAAGAGGCAATTTCCTAAGAAATTGATAGTTTAATACCATGATGCTTTAGCGGGTCCTGAATCAAGACTTTTGCTCAGCATGAAGAACCTAGAAACAGAAACATAAATCATTGAAAATTTGAAATCAATCAACATAATTTTTCTGCAAAATTAGAAAGGAAAAAAGGGACTAAATTAAACTTATAATTAAATTCAAAATTCCACCATCTTCTTACTTCCCCTGGGAAGGCTTAGCACTGGAATCGGATCATGAAACGAGGAAAGGGAAGGGGGAAATACCTTAATTAGGGATCTAAGAGAAGAAGAAGGGTTGACTGTTGAATTGAGAGCAGATCAGCGGTAACAAATCTTGTAAATAAATGTAATTAGCGTTCCTTCGCTTTTGCTAGACACCAAACCAGTCTTCCTTCGGGTCTTCTGTGATTATCACAGCTGGAAAATTTTTACATTTTAAATGGGATAAATTACAGCATATACCACTAAACTTTAGACGATATATGTTTATATAGTTGAACTTTCAATTATTTTAATTATAGTATTAAATTTTAATTGTTCCTCAACTAGATGATTATGATAGATTAATGGTTGTCGACACGAACATGACGACAAAAAAGAATAAATACTCATCAAGAGACTTTCGAAGGCATAGTATTATTCTTGACGATCGTCGTTCATCACATCGCAACCGACCGCCTCTGTCATTGTCGAATAATTATGGTCGCCATTCCATGTTTGGTCTTTGTAAGATATTCCTAACCATGACAAATTGAAATTAACCTATTTACATACAAAGTGAGTCTAAAATGGCTTTATTTTTGCAGGGATTACTGTTGTTATGGATTTGCAGTAAATTTCTCTCTGAAAAAACGAACACCGGAACACTTTACGTAGCTCTACCGTTATTAACAGCTGGTTTAGCCGGAGAAGATGCTTGTCTAGAGATACTTTTATGTGACCAGTTCAAAGAAGATGATATTGTTTTCGACCAGACAAGGTCGGAAAGACAACAGATGGAAGAGTACGCTTGTGTTGGTCTCTGGTCGTGCTAGTGTATGGTCCTACGGCGCCAGCTCTGTCGGAAAGTTCATTTGCTGGACGTTTGCATCAAGCCTCAACTGGACGCAAAGAACAATGGTCACTTTCATCGTTGTGGCCGCGGGCTTACGCACTTTTCATCTGCGGCGGAAGCTATTACAAACGCAAGGCACCGACGGGACGAAGGGCTGTTTCTCGATTGAAGGAGGCGATGGGGCTCATAAAGTTGATCCCTCTTTGGCTATTATTCATCCCTTATTGTCTAGTTGAAGCAGCGGGAAACACTCTTTTCATACTTCAAAGTATTGGACTGGATACAGGCATCAATCCCAAAATTACTCTACATTCATTCAATCAGATTCCCATTACTTCACTCTACGTGTTCGGCTCATTCAGAAGTTTTCTGGTGTCCCTGTCGTCTAAGTATCTGATTGGTAAACTTTGGAGCAACGAAGAACCGAAGCAACATCGTGCTAGATCCGACGGAATCGTTGTCGGGATGCTGTTTGCTTCTGGTTCTTCACTAAGTGCTTGGTTAGTGGAAGTACGAATATTGAAGTTAATCAAGGAACTCCCAGATCACGAGCAAGGTATTCCAATGAAAATACTATGGTTGGCACCTCAATTCGCCTTGAAAGGGATCGCCAACGGCCTTGTTTTGAGAGGGCTTGACGATTTTTTCTTAGACTTTGTGCCGGAATCCAAATTGTATTTTGCGGTTCCGTTCAGTCTGAGAGTGATGGGAATCGGGAGTTTCTCAAGTGCTGTTGCTACTTTTCTTGCACGAGACTGGATCGGCGACACCATTGACGAGTCTCGTTTTGATAAGTACTTGCAGATGTTAGCCATATCGAACATCTCCGTCGTGCCCGTTAACATCTTTTTCTCCTTTATGTTTGATTGGAACATACCCGAGAAGATTGAGATAGAAGATGATGATGATGATAGAGATGTTGAGATAGAGGAGGTTGATGGTAGAGATGTTGAGATATTTTAATAACTAGGGATAAATATAAAATATAACTCACAATTTTAGTTCAATTTTTCATATAATTATACACATTTAAAAATAAATACATTCATTTATCTTCATATTTAATAAATATGATTATTTATGTATATAATATAAATAAATAATATTACTGTGTTACTTTCTTAGTGTTTGACTCACTTGTATGATCATTTCATCCCTTTTATTTTCTCTAGTTGCCCGGACGAAGTGATGACGAGATACAGAACTTGTGGAATACAAGAAATAAGAGATTGCAGCGTGCTGGCTTGCCAATTTACCCTCCTGATGTCTTATTCACCTCGAAATTCCTCCAAAAATTATCGGTCCATTCCATGATATGACCACACGTTCCTAATGGCATGCCCTCCTAAGAATCTTCAGGAAAGTGTCGGCAATTATATCTCAATGCCCAAACAATTGACTGATTTTGCTTGCGAGGAGCCCTAAAAACAAATCATCTTCACCATATGATTCTGATTCCAGTACCGATGAGCAGTCATCATTTGGTATACCTTCTAAGCCTCTCCTTCTGAGCCCTATGAACATTGAGCTCCCGTCATACCAATATTCCTGGAAGCAGTACGTGATGAGTCGCAGAAACTTAAAACCTCGTAGGATGATCCTTGTCAGCAGTCTTCTACTTTGATGCTTGACGATGTAACCCATTTTCCCCTGAAGGATTGCGAATCATTGTATTCTCTCAAGTTTTAAGATTTTTGTAAATCACGAACTGTTGGGGTTGTTGGATAAGTTTGTATGGTACTATTGTTATTTAGCTTTTGCTACCTTATGCCGGACAGATGAAGGTGCGTTGTGGCACTTGGACAGTGGGCTGATGCTCGATGTATCATTTGAATAAACATATTGTGCGAGGTAGACTTTCCAAGATAACTAGAGATGTGATTAAAGACCACATGGATTGCAAACATTCATGCGGATGGTGCAAGTCATTATATTAGCGACATTAGGACACCTCAATTAGACAATGACAACTAAATCGCTTTAAACGATACATAAACTGAAAATAAATTGGCCGTGTTGATAGAGTATGGGGTTTCCATTTTCCAACTCGAGCATCATCCAATCCAATCTAACCAGTACGAGTGAAAATCCAAAATAATCAATCAAATGATTATTTTCAATTCGAGTAGTTCAATTTCGCTGATCTTATATCATCTCATCTTAGAAAGACTGTTTAATCAGACACTCATCTTTTAAACCAGACTGTCCATAAAAACAGAATAATTCTACCTCCGATCATCATTAGTCGGCATCCATTTCTTCCAGTGCAGTCCTAGCAGCAGCCTTCGATTCCTCTAAAAGGTCATCGGAACCTGAAATTGTGTGCAAGTGCCAAAAGTCATCAGATGGAAAGCACATAAAAACAAAACCGCAAAATATTTTCAAATGACAACTAAATTCTGCAGAAAAATGTAAGTTATTTATCCAAGTCGTTTTCAAATATGGACTCTAATCACTATTTTATAGCTGATAAATTCCAAAGCTCAATTGCATCAAAATTTCAGAAAGGAAGAAAATCAAATTATGCATGAGATATTAAACTGGATAATATCGTGGCACCAACACTATTTATTTCCTTCAGTATAGTAACTTAATGGCTTCTCTTGCTATGAAAGAGAGAACAAAAGGTGGCAAGGAGTAAGATAGGATTAGAATTGAAAGCATCAAAGAAAAGATGAATCTAGACCAATGAAGTGAAAAAATGATTGAAAACTTATTGCACGGTTTTGGACTTGTAAATGTTATCAAATGGGAAGATGGTCAAGTATGTGTAACATGTTTAGGGAGAGTTTTTGTCTGTCGTAATTCTGGGGTTACTGTTGTCCTGTTTCTACAGCAGTTCAGGAGTGTGATGTGAGCGCATAAGAAATGGGGTTAAGTTCTGGGAATGTCTGCACCGTGTTTTATGTTTTTGTCATTGCATCCTCTTGTGCCATTGCTCGGATGCACTCTTTTTTCCCTCCACTTAAGGGTAGGGAGGTTTTTTAACGAGGCTCTGAGCAATGTGTGTCTCATGTGTCGGCCAGTAATAAAATTCTCAACTTTTTTCAACAAAAAAACAAAATTATATGCTCCAAGGAATAAGTAACCCAAAATTTCTGTTTGTGCAGAATTTCAAGAATGAGAATCTTATGACATGTTGGGTATCTCTTATGTGAATAATACACGAGTGAAACAGGGTTTTACATAAGGATTACATTTCCCCCAAATTCTATGAAACTCATGACACCCATTGAATAGAAAACCAAATAAAACACACCATAATTCAATTCATTTAGTAGTTGAAGCTAGCATAAAGGTAGAGAGTGAGGCGTTGTATATCCATAATGGCTGGTGTCAGGAATTACCTTTCGAAGTTGTTGCTTTGACTCATCACATACCCAACTCATCTCCAGTTCAAAGGCCTTGTCCTTAGCTTCATCATGTACCTTGTAGATGCTGCTCAATGACAAATGATCAAATCTTATGCATGCATTCTCAGAGAAGGGAAAACAATATCACGCAAATGCATTGTAAACATACAATTCAGGCAATATGCTTGACCACACTTATTTTGTTTCTTAAGTCATGCCAGTCTGATATTTCTTAGATATTGCATACAAGCATCAGGCTTGTCATTGTGCCAAACCAGATATTACAGAAAATAAATAAAATAACAGAAAAAGAATTTGAGCTTGTTCCCTAGATTTCCATTAAATGCAAGAAAAGAAAAAGGAAGTGTTAACATTCAGAAAGAAGACATAAGCAATTATATTGACAGGTAAGAATGGAATTAAGATAGGCAAACTCACATTTTGGCTACTTCAAAAACCCCTTCCCTGCACGTCATTTCTGACAGCTTCAACTTTTCGATTTCTCTGTTCACAAACACAATTCAATTGAAACCTTATAGATGTCTACTACAAGTGTTACTGAGATGAGTGCACAAAAACAAGAGATAAAACATAGACAACTAAAGTTTCAGCTTCTTAGATATTTGAAAGAGCATAGCCATTAATTTTACAGGATAGAGCAACAATTTAAGTAGCCAACCAAACTAGTTTAGTGCCAAGGGAGTGTTGACTTGATTTTTATGACCCGTGGACAAATGAAAACTTGACAAGTAATGAAACAACATAGGAACGCATGTTTCCCTATTCATAAATCCACTTCAATTTTTCTTCATATCTTTTACTTTCTCTATTTTTCAAATGCAAATTAGGAAACAAGGAAACTCGTATAGAACAATAGCAAAACTTTGTATGAGGAGATGATGCCAGAAATATTTTGGAGATTAGATTTCAAAGAAGATAAAATGAAGTCCACAACATCCAATGCTCCAATAATTTCATATAATTAGCTAGCATGAACAGATGAATGTCTTCCTTCAAGTTTCGCAGGATAAAATAAATAGTTTTGTAACTTACGTTTTGGCAGCTTGTTTTCCCTTCCCGATTGCAGCACCAAAGTATCTCTTTATCAATTACAACAAGCAACGATCCAAACAAGGAGACATAAATCATTAACTAGCAGCAAATAGAAATAATACCAATGTAACGAGCATCAACAAACTAAGAAAAACACGAAGCTGTAATAGGGAGGAACGAACATACATAGGAGATGCCAGACGGTTCAACCATATATAATTGGGGACCATCTCTATCATAACCACCGAGAATTATCCCACAGCCAAAGGGCCTGAGCCACCAGTAAAGGGTGCATAAATGCACATAACTCGCAACTCGTTCAGCAAGTTCTTTAACGGGAATGGGCTCACCATATACACTTCATAACCACCAACAAATGAAACCCATAATTAGATAAAAGAAAATAACAGGCATAGCTAAAGCTGAACTTTGGGAATTGAAACCAAAGGAAAAACCTTTGGTAATTAGTAGCTTCAGATTTAGCACGGGCTACAATTTGCCTACCGTCAGCTGCTAATCCAGCCACTGCCTGAATTAGAGTACAGAATACCAGTGGAAGAGAGTCAGAATCCAAAATATTTGCAATGAAAATAGGGGCAAGGATGCCATTGAAATAAAGTTAAAGATGAACAAAAAAGGGGAGGAATAGTGAATACCATGCCGGAATGGCGATGAACGGAGTGGATTCTTCGATTAGAACCAGGTAACATCATCTTTGAAGCTATCAACTTCTCAACTCCCTAAAATAATAGTACACAGTTTAGTCTACACCCATATAATTGCCGCTGTTTTTTTCCCTTTTCCTGTGGTTTCAAAATAAGAAAATAAGGGAAAAGGAAAAGAAAAACTTTACCATTACGATCCCATCTTTGCATTTTATTCCAATCACAGTTCTGCAACAAGAAAAACAGTGTTTTTGAAAAAAAAATTAGATTTTTCAAAGCCTAAAATTAAATATAAAGAAGAAGAAGGGCAGACCCGCTGTTATCGACGGCTTTGGCGGCGTATTCGATCTGAAAAACGCGGCCGTCGGGAGAGAAAGTGGTGACCGAGAGATCGTAACCAGTTCCTATGCTGCTCATCTTGTTTCTTCTCTGCTTTTCCCTACTTGTAACACTTGATGTTTTGTTTGCTCATCTTTGTCGGAACTTCAATTATATTCTACTTAGAAAGGAATTTTTATTTTCTTTCTGCTCAAGATATCCATACCGATGGACCTTCATGGGCCACTCAAGGCTTCCACTCTATTTTTATAGTTTTATGGGCCACTCAAGGCTTACACTTTGTTGGAGAAGGCTCACGTGAGGCGCTTAATATACGATTAAAAAAATGCGGTATTAATTTTGTTATTGGCTAAAAAAAATGATATCGGTTTTGTTATTATTATGTATAACAAAACCGGTAAAAATTATCGAAAATATTATTATTTCTATCGGTTTTGTTATTATTTGACATTTTACCGGGTAAAAATATAACGGTTTTGTTATTGTTGTGCATAACAAAACCGGTAAAAATTACCGAAAAATATCATTATTTTAACAAAACAGGTAAAACACT